AAGAGGAAGCTGATAATATTTTCGGCAATTAATAGGTTTATCGATGAGGAAACGTCACAAAATTAAAGGAAGACAGCTCTCCATGACATTTTTTTTCAATACTTATTCTTCTCTATGTTGTCTCAATCTTAGAATATAGCAGCCTCTAAAAATTTAAGGAATTATTGTCTGAAACATCATGAGATTCGAATTTTAGACCTAAACGGTGTTTGACAGTAACAGACGCTAAATTTCTGATCCGATTCATGGTTTGCCATGAAGAAATCTCCAAGTCTTATGTTCAGTAGATTGTATTTTAATTTACGGGATAAAAAATAACAACACGTGATTACTGGTTTCATCATCTTTCTGAAATATTAATTACTTTAATATCCTTAGAGTATCAATGAAAATTTATAAACAACAATGAAACATAGAAAACTTTGAGCCATGTATTCATAACTAGATTAGGATGTACTTCTTCAGTTATATAACTACACTGATGAATTACGATGATCTATTCCGAAAATTTTAAAACAATGTTATTTCTATGCTTTATTATGATTGATACACTTAAATAAAGCAGAAAATATTCTCAGATTATTTGATTGTAATTTATTTTTATTTAATATGAAGATTTAAGGTCTTGATTAGTATATGTCCCAAGTACATATTTTTGTCTAATTCCTACTCAATACAACGCTGTTTAACGGATTTACTTTATAAATAAATCAGAGTTTTATCCAGTCATTATTATATATATACATGTTAACAGAAATAGTGACTACATTTTACTCAGTTGCAGAGAAATCAGACATTAAAATCCTGCATTACCTATTAGAACACACATGTATCAGTGACTATATACTTAAAGATCGGAATTCGCCTAAAAATCAAGGCAACTTGTTTCACCGTTATAAGAAACGAACTTCTGAATATAACTAACAATTATTCGTTATTCCGATTTTCGTTACTTTTCCGACTATGTTTCAGTTGCCCTAGATCTGAATCCAGTCAAGTCATTTCGGATTGTTATTGAAATGAATGCGGTCTTAATGTGCATGTTGTCAATACTCGTATATAATCATAGACTTGAATCGCTCTGGGTAATAACAAAATTAAATAAATCGAATACGATAATGGATTTTTAAATACGTATATTTTGTACAATTATCTATCTGAACATTCAATCAGAAAGACAAAGAGGAGAAAGCGAAACGAAATGACATGAGATGGAGAAAGCATGTAAGCCAACTCAATCTAATGAAGCATGAATTGATGTTTATAGCCAGATAAAAATAAGTTACAGACATGTGATGAGTAAGATAAAAAAAATGACTACAAATGCGTTTACTTGAAAACAGCAAAAGTTGATAAGCGAGTAAATGACAAAGTCAAAATATAGCATAAACAGAATGAACAGATTGGTTTGCCTAAGAGCTACGATAAAATACATTGTAACATTCTTAACATCTCTAGTGTTTTTGCATCACCAACTTAGTTATACAGTTAATTGATCATAAATAGAATGATAGATTATATAGTTGAAAGCATTAGTCAATTGAAGCTAGATCACCAAGGAAAACCCAGTGGTCTAGCTTCAATTGACTCATGCTTTCAACTATGCAAATACTAAATCTCCACAAAACCCTCTTCTGATAGATTATATAATACATAATTAGTATACCATAATCAATTTTTCAATATTGTTATATTAATCATTTAGTTTTGAATCTAACTATCACATTAAAAGGAAGTTGAATAAAGTAACATAATTTATTTGAATTCTAATCGAACTAACTAAAAGACTTTTATGACCTGAAGTATAAATAAAGTTTATGTGTCAAATAATTCAATGAACTAAAATGATTGATAGATTTAATTATATATTTGACCTTTCAACATATTTCATTTATTATGAAGTTAAATAATTATATATCACAAGGGGTTTTATGAATATTATAGTAATTTTAATAGTTGAGTTCATGAGTTAATTAAAGCTAGATCACCATGGAAAACTTGGAAACACTGGACACCTGTTTCACCCTATTATGGGACTCCTCAGCAGTGCGCATCCTAGATCCAACCCGCGAGATTCGAACTCAGGACCTTAGATCTTTTGCGCGAACAGGATTCTGTGAGCGGAACCGTGGATGTGCACCGCTGTAGAATCCCATACTAGAATGAAACGGCCATCCAATGCTTCCAGATTTTCCATGGTGGTCTAGTTTTTATTGACTCATCAACTCAACATTAGATTATGTTATATGTTTTTCGATTAGTTCTAAATGTAAATAACCAAGAAGATATTTTCGACCGTGAACAACCATTTTAATAAAGGGTTAGTAGAAATGAGGTATAAAAAGTGCCTGTAATGGAAGCTTTTATTTTGTGGTTAATAACTTATTAAATCCCATTTATAATCTATTATAGTACTTAGTAAAATTCATTTAATATTAGTTATTATGATTTTAATTCTTATGGATATAAGTAGCTTAAGAAGATTTAGTAATAAACAGAAGCATTTCAATTAGAATAGTATAATACAACAGATTGAACTAAATATATGAACAAAATTATCTACTCCTCCATGCTTTTTATCTGTAGTCCTCAATATTTACTAAAAGTTCAAAAGTGGATTTTTTAAAAGTAGTTAGCAAATTTTATTCAACTACTAAACAGTAAATAATGAACATCTCCATATTGATTTTTCATCCTGTAGTGTAATTTGACGAAATATAGTTTGCCCTGAAGAATGCTGATTACGATCATGAGATTGTCTAGCATAATTTAGTAGGAATTTTTGTATACTCGATCTGGTATAAACATTGGTTAGGATACCTTAAACGTCGGTTATATAAATATTAAAACTCATTTGGTGGGTGTGGTTATTTATAACTGTCATTGCAACAAGCAAAACTGTAAGTTTCTAACTGTATTACTGTAGGATAAATGAATTCAGAATATGTACTTTTCTACATAATAAGAAAAACTATTTAGTCCAGAAAATCCTTCACTCATAAGCTATAGTAAACTGCACAGTTTCAATATTTAATTAAGCATACTCCAGTTTAAAAGATAATAGTTATGAGAAAGTCTTAAGAAATGATTTACTAAAAAACTCTGTACATAAATTCATTACTTGGTAAGGGAAACAAACATTTGATATAATATGATCCATCAGAGTGTATGACAATCAAACATCGAATAAAGATTAAGCGGAACTATCAGAAATAGATATTTTTGTTTCTCTTATCTCATCAATAACTAATAATAAATTTAAAAAGATTATTTAGTGATCAGTGGATTCTCAATATTTTGTCTTTGAAGATAATCAATCATAAATATCTACAATTTGATCTGATGTGATGGTGGTAAGTGAGCTCTGTTATAAAGTAACATAGAGTACAAAAATAACTTACGTACAGAAGTTTTTTTGGTGATAGAAATCATTTATAAGCTGTTCTATACTAGCGCATGAATGTTAAAAGCAACTACTGTAATATCTTACAGGCATATTTAGTACATTTAGTAATGAGTTTAGAACGTTCGGTACAACGATTATGCTGTGAATCAAATAAAAGCCAGGATTTAGGATTTGATTGCACATTTAGAGAAGCGAAATGTCAGAAGTTACCATTTTCTGATTATAAATCCGTCAACATAGCCCTAGTAAATATGTGTATTCATTTATTAAAATATTTATTAGGTCAATTTAGTAGTCATTATCTTCTCTGAAACTATTATCTAAAAATATATTTCGACAGTTAATAGATTGATCTTTAAATAACTAATTCAGTAAATGGTTCAAATGGTTGAGGACGGAATAGAAGAAGCTTTCGCGTAACGGGCTACCATGTCTAGTAGCAGTGGACCACTAGTACCTCCAGGCAAGAACCTCAAAGTAGACAAAGATTTGAATTGGCCTATATATAAAAAATAACTGCAGTATTATAGCGACTCCCCCGAAATCGATTTCGATTATGGTTAATTTTTGTTAAACCCTTTTATTAACTTATCAGACAATGTTATTAAAGCAGTAACAATTTATCTTTTGTTTTGTACTATTATGATCACTATGTTGTTTGTATAAACGTGTACGCTTGATCGATTGTGACAGCCTACACACATATATCTTTCTCTAGCTTGAATGTTGATAGTTTGAACATCATTAGTTATATCATTCTCTTCTCCATGTGCATATGTACTCGAATCTTATTAATAGCCTTTGGTTTGCTGTGCCTTTATTGGATTTGACTATAAATTTGCCTCTGTATTTGCTCGCATACACACATTTGCCTCTCCGCTTAAAATTCGCTCAATGTGCTTATAGCTTTGGGATCTGTGCTATCCGCTAATAAACTGTATTTGCTGCTTCTCATTGCCTTCGGATTTCAAACACCGTTGAGATTTATACAATAATGGTTATCAAAATGATTGATTAACGAAGCTTAGCCACTGCTGTTATTCGAGATCATCGTGAAACTTTCGTTTCGATTGAGTTGTCTGGCATTTGATTTTAAAACAATACAATGTACTTTGAAAACAACAGCTAGTGAAATAAACTAGTTTTATCTCTACCCAAAAGTTATTATTCTTTGCTAGTTAATACTGTTCTTTATCGATTAATATAAGTTGAAGTTCACTGTATATAATACACTTAATCTTTGATAAAATTTGTACAACCAACATCAATAAATAACATTAAATCATATCATAGCTGCTCAAGAAAAGTTAACCCCTTTCCTAAACATACTCTCATCTTGATGGATCCATGAGTATTTTAATCCGTAATTAATTAACTTTAAGTTAACCACTTATCAGAGTATGTGATGACATCTTCCTACATAGGTTACACATGTTTAGTACACTAAAGTACCTAATGAATGTTTAGATATAGAATGTTATCTGTTTCCATATAACATGTATTAAAACAAAATATTCGAACATGATTACTTCAAAGAATTTAGTTTACTGCATGGATACATAAAATTTCAGAAAATATGATATAAAATACCTACATATTTTGTTTTCTGAATCCATTCATGATATCCAGAATTTCTGATTGCAAAGAGAAATCCATTATCTTTATTTAATTGGGTAATTTCATATTCATATTTACGAACGTTTAAATATAAATCCATTTTAGAAGGATCGTGTGTCTTTAATAAACTAAACAGTTTAGATATCACATATGATCGAATCTGTAAACAATGGAAATAAAGAAAACGACTTTTAAAGAAAGTACCATTCAAATAAACCTTCCTTGATGTCCCTCTTTCTTTATTTGATTTCAGGACAAATATACAGAAAAAAAACAGTTATCTAGCCGTCCCATTTTATTTGATTATAGAATAGTCAATTATCAGTCTACAATCAGTATTATTATGTATCTATATGTTATTTACAAACTAACAGATTTACAGCTGATGATATAATGACTTACATCGTTGGTTATTGGTATACTAGGTATTACAATTTCGTGTTATAAACATTACTATCATGATAAATACATTTGTTAGTTGATAGCTCTTCTTAAACAATAGATGAATCCAGGTCTTTTGTATGTTTACTAAATGTACAGCAATAACAAACTGGAATAGTAGATCAATTATGTAAATATCTTTGCTGTTTTTGAGTTTTGAGCGTTTCGTCCTATTTGGGACTCGTCAGCTGGATGTACCTGCATCTCAGAATTAATGTTCACTCTGGGAATCGAACGCAGTACCCTCGCTTCAAATGCCATCGCGTTATCCACTCGGCCACTGAGTCCTGATAGCCACTTGCTTGTGCGATGGGGTGAAGTTTGAATTCACTTAGTATTGTTTGTTTGGATGTTCCCATCGATGTGTTTAGGACTGCAACTAATCAGTCTGCACAGTATGCACAGTATGCACATATGCCAATTACAGACTGACCAGTTGCAGTCCTAAACACATCGATGGGAAGATCCAAACAAACAATACTAAGTGAATTCAAACTTCACCCCATCGCACAAGCAAGTGGCTATCAGGACTCAGTGGCCGAGTGGATAACGCGATGGCGTTTGAAGCGAGGGTACTGGGTTCGAGTCCCAGAGTGAACATCAATTCTGAGATGCAGGTACATCCAGCTGACGAGTCCCAAATAGGACGAAACGCGCATCCTGGATTCCACTGCTAGCCACTATCCATCTCTGCTTACCATGCTTGTGAATTAAGGTATATCGAGGCAATACGCACAGTATGCACATATGCCAATTACAGACTGACCAGTTGCAGTCCTAAACACATCGATGGGAAGATCCAAACAAACAATACTAAGTGAATTCAAACTTCACCCCATCGCACAAGCAAGTGGCTATCAGGACTCAGTGGCCGAGTGGATAACGCGATGGCGTTTGAAGCGAGGGTACTGCGTTTGAGTCCCAGAGTGAACATCAATTCTGAGATGCAGGTACATCCAGCTGACGAGTCCCAAATAGGACGAAACGCGCATCCTGGATTCCACTGCTAGCCACTATCCATCTCTGCTTACCATGCTTGTGAATTAAGGTATATCGAGGCAATACGCACAGTATGCACATATGCCAATTACAGACTGACCAGTTGCAGTCCTAAACACATCGATGGGAAGATCCAAACAAACAATACTAAGTGAATTCAAACTTCACCCCATCGCACAAGCAAGTGGCTATCAGGACTCAGTGGCCGAGTGGATAACGCGATGGCGTTTGAAGCGAGGGTACTGGGTTCGAGTCCCAGAGTGAACATCAACTCTGAGATGCAGGTACATCCAGCTGACGAGTCCCAAATAGGACGAAACGCGCGTCCTGGATTCCACTGCTAGCCACTATCCATCTCTGCTTACCATGCTTGTGAATTAAGGTATATCGAGGCAATACGCACAGTATGCACATATGCCAATTACAGACTGACCAGTTGCAGTCCTAAACACATCGATGGGAAGATCCAAACAAACAATACTAAGTGAATTCAAACTTCACCCCATCGCACAAGCAAGTGGCTATCAGGACTCAGTGGCCGAGTGGATAACGCGATGGCGTTTGAAGCGAGGGTACTGGGTTCGAGTCCCAGAGTGAACATCAATTCTGAGATGCAGGTACATCCAGCTGACGAGTCCCAAATAGGACGAAACGCGCGTCCTGGATTCCACTGCTAGCCACTATCCATCTCTGCTTACCATGCTTGTGAATTAAGGTATATCGAGGCAATACGCACAGTATGCACATATGCCAATTAGAGACTGACCAGTTGCAGTCCTAAACACATCGATGGGAAGATCCAAACAAACAATACTAAGTGAATTCAAACTTCACCCCATCGCACAAGCAAGTGGCTATCAGGACTCAGTGGCCGAGTGGATAACGCGATGGCGTTTTGAAGCGAGGGTACTGCGTTTGAGTCCCAGAGTGAACATCAAATCTGAGATGCAGGTACATCCAGCTGACGAGTCCCAAATAGGACGAAACGCGCGTCTTGGATTCCACTGCTAGCCACTATCCATCTCTGCTTACCATGCTTGTGAATTAAGGTATATCGAGGCAATACGCACAGTATGCACATATGCCAATTACAGACTGACCAGTTGCAGTCCTAAACACATCGATGGGAAGATCCAAACAAACAATACTAAGTGAATTCAAACTTCACCCCATCGCACAAGCAAGTGGCTATCAGGACTCAGTGGCCGAGTGGATAACGCGATGGCGTTTGAAGCGAGGGTACTGCGTTTGAGTCCCAGAGTGAACATCAATTCTGAGATGCAGGTACATCCAGCTGACGAGTCCCAAATAGGACGAAACGCGCGTCTTGGATTCCACTGCTAGCCACTATCCATCTCTGCTTACCATGCTTGTGAATTAAGGTATATCGAGGCAATACGCACAGTATGCACATATGCCAATTACAGACTGACCAGTTGCAGTCCTAAACACATCGATGGGAAGATCCAAACAAACAATACTAAGTGAATTCAAACTTCACCCCATCGCACAAGCAAGTGGCTATCAGGACTCAGTGGCCGAGTGGATAACGCGATGGCGTTTGAAGCGAGGGTACTGGGTTCGAGTCCCAGAGTGAACATCAATTCTGAGATGCAGGTACATCCAGCTGACGAGTCCCAAATAGGACGAAACGCGCATCCTGGATTCCACTGCTAGCCACTATCCATCTCTGCTTACCATGCTTGTGAATTAAGGTATATCGAGGCAATACGCACAGTATGCACATATGCCAATTAGAGACTGACCAGTTGCAGTCCTAAACACATCGATGGGAAGATCCAAACAAACAATACTAAGTGAATTCAAACTTCACCCCATCGCACAAGCAAGTGGCTATCAGGACTCAGTGGCCGAATGGATAACGCGATGGCGTTTGAAGCGAGGGTACTGGGTTCGAGTCCCAGAGTGAACATCAACTCTGAGATGCAGGTACATCCAGCTGACGAGTCCCAAATAGGACGAAACGCGCGTCCTGGATTCCACTGCTAGCCACTATCCATCTCTGCTTACCATGCTTGTGAATTAAGGTATATCGAGGCAATACGCACAGTATGCACATATGCCAATTAGAGACTGACCAGTTGCAGTCCTAAACACATCGATGGGAAGATCCAAACAAACAATACTAAGTGAATTCAAACTTCACCCCATCGCACAAGCAAGTGGCTATCAGCACTCAGTGGCCGAATGGATAACGCGATGGCGTTTGAAGCGAGGGTACTGGGTTCGAGTCCCAGAGTGAACATCAATTCTGAGATGCAGGTACATCCAGCTGACGAGTCCCAAATAGGACGAAACGCGCGTCTTGGATTCCACTGCTAGCCACTATCCATCTCTGCTTACCATGCTTGTGAATTAAGGTATATCGAGGCAATACGCACAGTATGCACATATGCCAATTACAGACTGACCAGTTGCAGTCCTAAACACATCGATGGGAAGATCCAAACAAACAATACTAAGTGAATTCAAACTTCACCCCATCGCACAAGCAAGTGGCTATCAGGACTCAGTGGCCGAGTGGATAACGCGATGGCGTTTTGAAGCGAGGGTACTGCGTTTGAGTCCCAGAGTGAACATCAAATCTGAGATGCAGGTACATCCAGCTGACGAGTCCCAAATAGGACGAAACGCGCGTCTTGGATTCCACTGCTAGCCACTATCCATCTCTGCTTACCATGCTTGTGAATTAAGGTATATCGAGGCAATACGCACAGTATGCACATATGCCAATTAGAGACTGACCAGTTGCAGTCCTAAACACATCGATGGGAAGATCCAAACAAACAATACTAAGTGAATTCAAACTTCACCCCATCGCACAAGCAAGTGGCTATCAGGACTCAGTGGCCGAGTGGATAACGCGATGGCGTTTGAAGCGAGGGTACTGCGTTTGAGTCCCAGAGTGAACATCAATTCTGAGATGCAGGTACATCCAGCTGACGAGTCCCAAATAGGACGAAACGCGCGTCTTGGATTCCACTGCTAGCCACTATCCATCTCTGCTTACCATGCTTGTGAATTAAGGTATATCGAGGCAATACGCACAGTATGCACATATGCCAATTACAGACTGACCAGTTGCAGTCCTAAACACATCGATGGGAAGATCCAAACAAACAATACTAAGTGAATTCAAACTTCACCCCATCGCACAAGCAAGTGGCTATCAGGACTCAGTGGCCGAGTGGATAACGCGATGGCGTTTGAAGCGAGGGTACTGGGTTCGAGTCCCAGAGTGAACATCAATTCTGAGATGCAGGTACATCCAGCTGACGAGTCCCAAATAGGACGAAACGCGCATCCTGGATTCCACTGCTAGCCACTATCCATCTCTGCTTACCATGCTTGTGAATTAAGGTATATCGAGGCAATACGCACAGTATGCACATATGCCAATTACAGACTGACCAGTTGCAGTCCTAAACACATCGATGGGAAGATCCAAACAAACAATACTAAGTGAATTCAAACTTCACCCCATCGCACAAGCAAGTGGCTATCAGCACTCAGTGGCCGAGTGGATAACGCGATGGCGTTTGAAGCGAGGGTACTGGGTTCGAGTCCCAGAGTGAACATCAATTCTGAGATGCAGGTACATCCAGCTGACGAGTCCCAAATAGGACGAAACGCGCGTCCTGGATTCCACTGCTAGCCACTATCCATCTCTGCTTACCATGCTTGTGAATTAAGGTATAT